TCCCCTTTCATGGCACTGCTTTCCAGCATCTCATTCCCCAGTCTGTACGAACATCCAGGGTTGCCCCACCCAAGGTGCAGAATCCAGCACTTTCTCTTATTGAACTTCATATGGTTGCTGATTGCCCAGGCCTTTAATTTGTTGAGATCTTGGGACAATGCACATTCCCATCCCTACCCAGCACTGCAAACTATCAGCACAGCACTCCAGCTCACTGCTGATTTCTCTTGAAGACAAAGAGTAGCTCAGCTTGGACCTCTCAGAAGCAGAAGCTCCTGATGGGTTCCTGAAATAGCTCTATCATCATTACCTGAAGGGCTGCTGTTAAGCTTGTCGTGGCTTCCTAGGGCTGGCTCCTACCTACAGCCACCACAGCCTCCTTGCTTCAATTTGTGTGCACACATTCTCTCTCTAAACTGTTAGCAAGACTATTTTGATTTAAATGAGAGTATTTCTTTTTTTAATTTGCTTCAAGTAGCTGAATTAAATCATGGAAGCGGTGAACCACCTAGGAGAACCACCTATGCTTTAAAAAGAATAAGTACATGCAACCCCTACTACCCACCCTCAACTCACACATGTGCACACAGGCACACACGCACACACACACACACACGCAAATTATTTATGATTATGTTTCCACCTGTGCTAACACGGACAGGAATTTACAACAGTATTGAGAAAGTTACAAGCAGTACCTCAGAAATTCCACATTTTACTGAGCTGTGTTATTATGGCACATTTGTCAGGCAGCCAAATGCTGCATGAGCCCTACAATTGATTTACAGCAACATCTGCAAGAATACTTGAGGAAGAGGAGGAAAGCAATGTCCACTTTTGAATTCAGTGTTCCAAAGAAACTAATGGTGGTAGGAGATATACAACCAGAAAACACAGAAATAAACAGCATGTTTAAAGTGTTATGTGCTAAATGTTACAAACAGGAGGGCAGAAAATAAGAAATAAGCTCAGACAGGAGAATAACCACAGCCTTTTCAGGCATGTCTTAACTTAGCTATATAAAATACTTGGCTTTAAAAAAAGCAGACCCTTTTCTTTTTTTTTTTCTAAGGAATATATGACGCTTGAGCAGGAAGCCAACATATGCTCAAAACTCCTTTGTGAAAGACCCCATTAAAAAAAAAAAGGAAAAAAATCCCACCAAATTTATATAATAGTTACCTTGTAATTACTATGAGCTACATGAATAAATCCCTACTTCTCCATTTAAGATCGTTTTGTGAGGAGAAAAGAGGTCCAGTATTGAAGAGCTGGAAAGGTTTGGCAGAGGAAAGAGGTAGGAATGTCTTTCCCAGACCCCTTTCCTCAGCCTCTGCACCTACAATAACTTGCTCTTCTGTTTGATTATCAAACAATTTCTCTGCAAGACAGCAAGATGTTGAAGAAAGCAAGAAAGACAGCTGATGACATTTGGGAATGCTGAATATGACTTCCATTATCCAGCAATACAGTATTGTTTAAGTTGTTGTTTTTTTTAAAAGTAAATGTCATTGATCAAACATTATAGACTCTAAGAAGTTTCTGCAGCTGCCTTGTTTGAGAGATAGCTCCATGAAGGAGTTACAGCCTTTTATTTGCACTTCAGTTTAACGGGCTGCTGCCTCTTTTGAGAACACACGCAGAATTATTCTTGAGGAGAAAAGAGAACGCAGAAAGAACTGTGTCTTGCCAATACCACCTAAGGAGACTTTCTGCTGTGCCTTTTGCAACTGGACTTGTCTATCTCGCATTGGCCTTTTTAGCCATCAGTGTGCTTGTAGCAAGCGTGGATAGAATCCTTCTCAAATCTTCATTCGCGAAGCCTAGCCATGATGAGTTTAACAAGAGAGATGATTTGGGTGTTGCTCACACAGCTCCTTAATCTGAGGTGCTGCTTGAGATCTGCTGGAGCAAGGCATCCCTGGGGTAGGAGTCACCTGGAGAGCAAGGCTGCCACTGCAGCTCCCACATCAACAGCAGCAAGTCCGAGAGGCTGCTCGGTGCTTGTTCAGAACCCACCTTGGGTTACACAGAAACTGTAGGAACCAGCTTCCTACAGTTCTCAAAGCATACAGAAAACAGAACATTTCTAATCACACAGAAAAATACAGAGCCTGACTCTTTATGATTATAGAAACTTGTTGAGTCAGTACTTCTAAGAAGAAATCAAGAAAAGAAACATGCTCTGGCAGCAGTGAGAATCAATCCACAGGGACCTGCCAAACTCAGATCAAATGGATTTGGGAAAAGGGATGTGCAGCAGGGAAGTACAAGCAAGAGTTCTACCCTCTCTGGCTGTGTGCCTGGTCTGTGCTGCCCTGATAACCCAAAGGGCTCTGCACTCTATGTTCCAATTCCGAATGGAAAAGGGAAAATAAAAAAAAAAAAAATTGAGACAGGTCATTTCAAAGTGAAAATTCAAAGCATTTCTATTTTTCAGATTTTTTTTCATGTTCTGATTCAAGCCACTTCGTAAAACAAGTGCAGTGACTCAGTGTCTCAAAGTTGTTTTTTGATTTCATCTTCTCTTTTCTTAAAAAAAACCCCTACTTTGAGTGAAAATGCTATTTCAGACAAAACTGCAATTTCACTGGTAGGTGAAATAACACAGTTGTTACAAGCTACAGAGCAATAAACAAAAAAAGACATTTTTAAAACAAGGCACTTAAGAACCTCAGTTTATGTTAAAGGACAATTTTATTCATTGTTAATGCAACTTTATGATTAGTCATATTTTCCATCATCACCACCATTTTACTACTTTACCTACTGTGTGGTCACAGTTGCGCGAAATTTAATTCATTCTAAGTACATTTTTAGACATAGGTTTTTGTGCCCTTGCCAAAATCTGAGAGCAGATTAACTTTTCCCTGCTAATAGCAAATACCTATGATGCTGCTGCAAGCACCTCTAGCACTCCTGACACTTTCCATTCTTTGGCTTACATGGAAGGCTGTGTAAGCTAACTACGATGGAGGTCGTGTTTCCCCTTTCCTAAGGGAAGGTTAATAGAGAAAGAACTTTACACTAATGCAGAATTCGATCAGTTTGTGGCAGAAGCCCGGCTATGGGCAGCTGGCTGCTGTAGCGCTGATGCTTTCCTAATGCTGCTGGTGTAACGACCTGCAGCAGGTAGCAGAACAAATACAGTTTATTTTAAGCTAGGAGAGGGGTTAGTTTCAGTTATAAGAGCTGGCTTGATTATATATGTCTTCTACCACTTACTCAAACAGTAGCTTCTTCATTGCTGTGCTAGTCAGTCACAGCTATTAAAAATCCACAGAACAAAAGCCTCATTTGGAGAAGTGTTAACAATTATTATGTGGTATCAGTGGATCGAATATTTTTTTATGTGAGCTCTCCGGTTAGTCAATAGTCTGCAAAATTTTTCTATATGCTGTAATGCAGGTCATGAGGGACCTCCAGATGCCAAATGAAGGACTAAGTCTTTCTGGTTACTTCTAAGAGTCTAGAATCACAATGAGATTGAAAAGCAATTCCAAACCCCCAACATACTCTGTGTCCTGCAGAAAATGCACAGCTGCCTCATTCAAGGGCTAATAGTGTGGCAGCTCTAACTCCTTGATAAGCGTATTGAGCTGTGTTATGAGGAGTAAATGTTAAAACCTGCACAAGTTATTCCCTTGGAACAAGGGGATTATTCAAACCCCCCCTAAGATATTACAGGAACCCCAGCCTTCCTCCCCTGCATTCACTTTACAGTATCTCTGTAGTTCTGCCTTACAGTAGCTTTGCCTACTTCCCTATCATGGTGTGCCAGCACGTTAGCAGCAGGACAGAATTAGATAGGGCTGTCCAGTGCTGGCACATCTACGAAACTCAGTATGAAACCTCACCATTTGAACAGAGGCTGGAGCCCTGAATTCTCCATGTTATAGCAAAGCAAAATGGAAGCATAAACAAAACCCAAGGACATCAATGTCAATTACTCCATTACAGTCTTTTGTTCAGTTATTTCTAAAATAAGTAGGCTGAACATCAGGAAGAGTGTCAAAGGCAGTTTCTTTAACTGGATAGGAATGGATGTGGTTTTTCATCATTTAGCCATAAAAGAAGTTGAAGACTCACTGATCAAGAAGTTATTTCAAACGGCTCTATAATCAATACCTGGATTTTGATAATCCAGCAGCAGACCCAAATCATAAATCATAGCTTCTCCATGCACATCTACAAAGGAAGTCCTGAAAATAAGCAGGCTGCACATTGCTATGGCAAATGAGAGGGTATTATACCATTTCCAATGGCATATTCAAAATTCACAGGGCTTAAAATTAGTCACCATTCATTTCAGAACATAGTATATAGAGGTGCTCAGATTGCAAACTCCTGCACTACACTTGCTGGCGAACAGCCCACAGTCAACAGCCAAACTGAACAGGAATAATACAAAAGCTCTTGTTGAGGGCTGAGGAAGTGCTATCAGCTTAATCTAGAGTAATTTATGCTTCTGGTCTCTGTTGTGTGGGAAATAAAATTCTGAGCTCAAGTCACAAAGCCTAAATTTGTTTTACAAGCAGTAAAGTTAAATGCTACCAACTTCACTCCCAGGTCCTGCTGTCCCATGGCATTCTTGAGTCACATTGATCACACGCATTCTGACACAGTGGACCCCATGACTCTGGGAAACTATGCACTGCACCAGCAATATTTAGACTTGAACACAAACACAGAATAACAAAGGGATCTTGCTTCTTGCCTACAGAAAAGGACATTTTAGATGCAGTAAGGCGTAACTCTCCAGATGATGTGCTCTTTGGTGCACAGCTGCTTTTGGCATTTTAAAGCAGAGGATGAATGGAATTAAATATACAAAAAGCATTGTAAAGAGGACAAGAATGCATGTATTTGATTGTAAATATTTTATTTCTGCCTCCTCAATTACGAATTTACTGCACATTTGTACCAAAATCTTCCTAATGCTGTGGCTAGCCTGTCTTCCCACAATTCCCCTTCTAGTATCCAGCCTCTCCTTACTGCCTGCAACTGCACTATACTCTGTAAACCGAATCCATTTGTCCTAGCCTGACACCACAGTGATAGGACAAGCAGAGAAACTGGAAGCAGAATAGTGTAGGTTATCAAAGAAGGTCCCCTGAGGACATGGGAGCAGTACTGAGCTGAGAAAAAGAGCAGCCTGGGAAACAGGAGAGACCACATGTGCCTTTTGGTAAGTGATAGGGTGTGCACATATGTTATTTCAGTGGAACTACTGACCCCTAAATACTTTAGCACAAAAACCATGAGAAGCACCTTTTGCCACACATTAGTGAGCAAATATACTATTGCTTTTATTCACTGTTGTAAGTAACACTTCCCTGAAATATAATAAAGTAAGGTATCTAGTAAGTTCTTAATTGGAGTAAAATGGTTACATACAAGAACTGCATCTTGTTATACATTGGCTTCTTCCCTTCACTAAACAGGTTGAGGCTCTTTTCTCCCCTTATTTTCTTAATAAAATAATTACATAAGGCTGGTAAACTGACATCCAAGTAGTCAGTCACATTCTCTATGACAAAGCAATACACAAAGTGAGAAAAAAAGGCAAAAATCTGTAAGTGTAATTCTCTGAGATGTATCACATCTGCAACAAGAAGTCTTACAAGTAGCTAGTACAATTTCTACTTATATTTATATTCAAAAAGCAACACAATCCTCAATTACGGTCCTGGTCTGTAAGGCTGGCAGAACACAAATTTTTGCAACGCAAATCTACCTCTTAGTTTTAAGCTTCTTTGAAGCAGCTCAAGGAATAAGGCTTAAGTGTTCAAGAGATCCCTGAAACTGAAATGTTTGGTGACACTAATGAGTCCTCGGTTGGAGAAGTGGCAATATTCTCTGGCAGAAACTTTGGGCCTAGCTCTTTGCCATTTGTCACGATCCATTTACACTGAAGTAAAGAACTCTAAATTAAAGCATTTGGTGCTGAAATACTGTAGCACTCTGTAAGGTTTTGTCTTTGAAATAGTAACAGCCTCCAGTATGCAGGTATCCACAGTGTTATGCACACCATTTAGGTTACTGTTTTGAAATGCTTGCTCCAGAGAGATTCTGGTAAATGAGAAACTATATTTATCTAAAATTTTTAAAATTATTATTCAGGGCTTGCAGAAACTATATCTCAGCAGTTGCTTGCATGAGTTCAACAAGCGAAACATTCTGTTGTGTAAAGCATTAAGAGCATACTGCCTTTAAAGAACATTCTACAAGTTTTGAGTCCACGACAAGATTTCAATTGCTGCTGGTCATGAAACTGCAAAATGTCTGTCATTCAGCAACACTTGTTTCTCATTCTAAGACTCTGAGATGCAGTATAAGATTTTCTTACTGCTGGCTGCAACTTATTTTCCCATCACATCAACTTAAAATTTAGCTTTCAGCTGTGTAAACATCCAACTCCCGAACATCTGAATCTTCAGAGGGGAAAAAGAAAGGGGGGGGGGAAGAGAACGAAGGCAAGTGAACTTGCAAGCCTTTAAAACAGATGTTTGGTTACATCAGTGGCCTTAAAAGAACTATTAAGATATTGCAACTATTTAGACATTTACAGATTACCACTCTATTTAAGCACAATCCATTAATTAAACACAAAAACTGGCTGACAGAAAAGAGGACTTTGGAGCTTTCACTTCCATTTATGGGTACTTAAGGCATCAAATAAAAGTTTAAGTCATTTGTATGTTTAGGTTGCTAAATGAAATTTGATAGAAAGCCTTTAAAATTCATTGACCCTGAACATTTATTTAGGTACAGAGATCCAAGCCTTTGGAAGATTAGGATCTTTTCAAGGAAGATGAAAAAGTAATAAATGGCATTGCCATTTTTCTCAACCCTCCCCCACTACAGAAAATAAATTTAAGGCTTGTTTTTATGATGGAGTTATTAAGGATAAACATTAACTCTGGAATGAAAAATGTACTTACTGTTTATAACTTTGTTGCTTTTTAATATGTCAAAAAGGCAATGTTTGGTTACAAACACGAGCTTATTACAGCCCCCAGCTCTTCTCTCCCTAAAGAAGGGGTCAGTGGGGAGGGGGTTGAGGGGGAGCAAAACGAGAGCTATCGAGTGAATAAAATTTAAGATTTCTTGCCTTATTGACTTATAGCTTTTGTTTAACTCATGAAAAATTAATCTCTTTCAAATGTACTTAATTATAATCAAACACCCATATCAGTGTCTGTCAGCACATCAGCACATCTGGCAGCAATGAAGACAAATTAACAATAAGTCAAAAAATCTGGCAATATGATCAACTAAAGCACGCAAAATCCATTCTGTACACTTAGACCACCAGCGACCAAGGATGGATTAACTTCCTGTCTCTAATACTGGTGCCTAAAGTAAAGGGAAATTGCATTGCAATCTGGGTACCAGGTTTCTGGCTACAACTAAAAGCCCTTAACTCAGCTACACCAGGCAATGAAATCTTTGCTCGAGCTTTAGCCATGATGCCTGTGATGGCCTACTTTAACAGCTGCATTTAATTTAGTTTAAAAGAAGATATCTGGCAACCATGTAAGTTTGCACCTTCAAAGCAGGCAGATTTAAAAAGCCAGTCTCCTATAGTAACCACTTTAGAATCTCACTGTTCTAATTGAGTGATGACAACAAGATTCACAGATTTTTAAAATAGTAGGTATCCGTACACAGAAAACCAAAATAGAGTGTTTTCACTTAGTTTTAATTACTATGTTATAATAAGCAATCCTCTTTCTCCAACTTCTTAGAGTTGAAGATATTGTGTTCATTACTGCAAATATAATCCACCAAGAATTCACAATTGTTCAACTTGACTGAGCAATTAAATAAAGCACAGATCTCATTTATAACCAGAGAAAGGCAGCCAAGTAAGGAACAGAAGCACAAATTAAACCAAAGTAAACATTATCTTGTACTTGGATTACCTTCTCATGTTGGGCATGGAGTGGTCGTAGAAGCAAAAAAGGAGGGAGAAAGGGTATGGGAAAGCAAAGACTCAGGCATGCACTGCATATTTGGCAAACACTGAACACTAACCCGCTCAGAAAAGAGCAGTGTTACCAGGCAGATATACAATGCCTTTTTTCTTCTTCTACTGAATAGCTTGATATGAATTTGTGCCTCTACTGTGTATATCCTCCAACAAATGCAGGCACACTACAACACAGGCATGGAAAAACTGGCAGTACTACAGCCTTGTGTGCATGAAAATTGGGAGCGTGTGTGCACAGTGGAAATTCGCTAAGTGGAAAAGACTTGCATACTTATTTTGGTTGAAATAGCTTCAAGCCACTTTTCCAGCAGCCATGGCAGGACCACACCAACTCTTTGAAGATGAACATATTTTACACAGTAAATCTAAAGGTACAAGTTTAGGTCAAACAAAGGTGCAAACATGCATCAGAAAACACTGTCTAGAAACGTAATTCACACTGTTCATTCTTCATAAACTAATGTGGGTCAGAGACCACACAGCAGCAGATTTTATTAAAAGTAATGTGCAAATAAGATGCATGATACCTGCAAACAGCATGGAGTTTCCATTTGTAAAAAGGTACAAGTAACAGTAAAAAATTAGAATGCTTACTGCTCATTTCAATAAAATGAAGTCTGACATAGAAATACATGTGCTGTATTATTTACACCATTAATTTACAAAATATATTTGCATTAAAAAAAGCTATAAAATAATTACAAATATAGTATTTTTATAAGGAATGTTTTTTCAGTACAACAAACGAAGAGCACTTTGACAATTATGCTTTATTGGAATAAAAATACATTTTTTTCTTCAGAATTCATAGCATCATGTGGTTTCTTTCTTTCCTTCTTCTTTTCCTTAGTCTCTTTTTAAATAAAGTTTCATACTGAGGTAGTAGTATGTCAAAGTATTTCTTTGGTTCCAGAAATCAATAGCAAGTCCAAAAAGAGCTATGTATCCAAATCACAGGATTGGAAAGTAGAAGTCCTAAAGTTTTCAAATGACTGTTTGCAAGTATAAAAGCTATTTTCTCCTCTAGAATCTGTCCTTTCCTTTCCCTCTTCATCTGCCTCTGCATCAAAGTCCAGTGAGGCATGATGATTATTACGGGAGGTTTTCGGTTGGCAATTTGCTGGCTGCCTACAACTTGAAAAAGTGTCCAGCTGAGGCCTCCATAAAGGCTTTCCAAATGTTCCTGAAAGACAATAAAAGAGTGAGTACAGAAATACCGATGTTAACAGCTTTGTGCCTCACCAAGGGCTGCATGTTGGAATGCAAGCCAAAGATTGACAGAAAAAGTTCACCATAGTGAAATTTTACTTCACTGTTGTTTTACCCCTTAAAAGAAAACATCGATGTGATCACAAGCATAAAGCAAGACTCTGCCACCTGAGACATTAAAAACATTTCCAAAGCAATTGTATAGCCACCCACAACTTTCTTTCTTTTGTTTTCATGACTACTTCCATACCCATTTTAATATGGAGAGGGTGGTGAGGGAGGAGGTGGGAACACAGACCAAACTGCAAACACAAGACACTTTCCAATGCAAAGGTCACAGCAGTCTCCCTGTTTTGTTCTTCAGTGAACGAACGGCACATACCATCTGCCATGTAGTTCAGAAAAAATAAAACAGGTTTTTAAAAAAATTTAACTCCTGACCTGTATTGCGTTATGCAACATCATCCCACAGTGCAATCCAAATGCTAAAGAAGTCTTTTTCTGGCTAGCATGTCTCATTAATAATAAAAGTCCAGCTAGCCACATGCTCCATTCATAACTGATCATCTAGCCATTTGTGGGCAAAGAGAACCATTGTAACCCAATGAGAATTCAGCATTTCAGTTCAATCTATAAATAATTATCTGGATTTACTAGTCAGAAAATAATTAGCATCAACACCTCTGCAAGAAGGGCCTTCTCTTTTTTCATTGATACAGCTATTGCAAATCAGTGTCTGTAAGAGACACTCAAAGGACTTATTTTTAGAGGAAAACATGCCACAGGCTGATTTTGAAGAACTTGAGTTTTTATTAATAACTTAACACTGCTATCTTTAGGGGGCCCCTGGTGGTCTAGTGGTTAGGGTGCAGGACTCTCACCGCTGCGACCCGGGTTCGATTCCCAGCCCCCCGGGCAGATGGAGCTCGTCAGCCCTGTGTGGCAATCCATCTAAGAGAAGGTCACTCTAAACAAACCTACGTCCTGGGGACCTCACTGCCACTGTCCAAGCTTGCTCGGCCCTGGCAGATGAACCTCAGGATTAAAGGGTGGGCTCAGTTCAGCGCACGCTGTGTCTCACCTAAAAAATCCACTGCGCAGGCTCGAAGGGTTAATGACCTTTCCCAAATCTTCGCTCGCGAAGACTGGCCATTATTATTATTATTATTAACACTACTATCTTTAATAAATTTTGAACCCAAACCACCACACTTTTACTTTTGCTTAGGGGCTAGAACCAAGGGTTTCAAGTAAAACTGTCATCTGAGAAGTTACTAAAAATGGAATTGGACAAGATCCACATTTGCACCAATGATTTGTAGAGCAATTTTAACCTAATACAATATGAAAGGATGTTACTCACAACAGCAAAGCTACAAATGAGTCCTATCTTAAAAACCAAAATCCAAGCTATGAACTTCCTGATTCATGCATTGACAGTAAAGTTAATTCCAGTTGTCTTCTTCATTGTGATTGTATAAGCAAAAGGGGACTTGAATTTGAAGACAATGCTAAAAAAGGGGATTCACAACTAAGGACAAGAAATCTATCACAACTTCTTCCACAGCCACCACCTCCGAGATCTAGCCATAGGTTCTTTGAGGCAAGAGCGCTAATGATTAAAAAGCATCCAAGGCAGTGGTGATGCAACTTAAGCGGGGTAGTAGCCTAAGAGAACTGATGAAAAGAGTAGCTCTGTATAGATTTCTAGGGCAAAAAGAGGACTATGTGCCCTTGATATGACATTAACTCCAGGGTACACCAATGTACAGTTGAACTACTTCCTGCAGGAGCCCTATCCACACAGTCCCACCACAGTAATAGTGGCAGGCAGCCAGGGGGCTGGCCACATGTAGTCGCAGGGCCTCTGCCAGATGTCCTGGCATCTGCAACATTTTATAGTTCAAACATCTGGCTTTCGAAGGGGGAAAACTTCAGAGGTTGTGCCTCCCTCCCCACCCCCTGAGAACAAAGAGCCCAGTGATGCACATTCCCCCAGGTCCCCTTGCAGAGCCATCAGACCCAGGCCTTGATCAGCTAATGCTGACACACCAGCCCGGGAAACAATCCACGGTACCAGGGCTGTGCTTGGTGTAAAGATATCACAAGGATGAGAGCAGTATGTGGTTTTATATGCATTTTAAATCAACCAGCCCAATCAATATCCAAAACTTAAGAAGCTTCAAAGGTAAAGCTTTTCTCCTTCCCCCCATCTCTTCCTGCAATCTGGATTAAAATTGTAAACCCTGAACTAAACTTTGGGAACTCTTTTTGTCATACAAACCATGAGAAAAGGACAAAGGGGGGTAGAGAGAGCATTTTTACATAGTGCCTTACTTTGAAGGGTAAATAGTTCTGGCTCCCTATGTTACATGATACATACTCATACAAGTTCAAGTCTCCCCACCTGCCCTGAGCCCTCCTGAGACCTTGCATACCTTTTGCCTGTTATGTATCCTAACATTTACGGAAATTTGCCATCTATATTAAGACAGAAGATAAGAATCACATCACTGATGAGACTTTCATGTAAGTGTGAGCTATTAAGACATCCCAGTAACCAAAATATTCTCATCACACAGTTTTACTATAACCACTCCTCTGTTCCTCAGCTTAAAACATTTGGGAAAGAAAAAGCTGAGAAATCAGTTTTGCTTAGTGTTGTAAGGAGGAAGCAAGACAGCAAGCTCGAATAAAAAACAACAGCTAGAACATACCCATGAAAGTGCTGTTACTCGTAACAGATGAGGGTTCCAAACTTCTGTTTAAATCAAATGTGTCCAAGTTCAGACTTTTGCTTTTTAATCCAGTTCCTTCATTTTGAGTATAAATAGAATTAATCAATCTGCTACTTGCAGCCTGCATCCCGATAATGCCAACACACTGGTCAAAGGGATCATCCAGTGGAGGCAAGTATTGATAGCATTCCTTTTTCCTTAAATATCCAGACTCATAAGGATCCAAGCATGCTGTTCTTTGGTCAGGGCTGCAACCTAAAGAAAATGAAAAATTGTTTTCATACAGATTCATCATAACACAAGATTGAATTAGGACTAAAACTTCCCCCCTGCCAACTTACTTGCATTGTATGCTTCAAATGCATCAGAACTATATGTGTTTCCTTTTAAATACAAAGTCCCTGAAGTCCCCAGATAGTGGCATAGGAATGGATCTGCAACACCCTCCAAGTCTGTTTCACTGCTGTTATCTAGATGGCACATGCCTTAAAAATAAAATTGACATGTCAGTATAAAATCTTTTCTGAATCTTCGGCTTACAGTTTCTTAAGAACCCCATGTGTTCAACTGCATTTCATAGTGTATTTTAGAGCTTGATTAGGTTCAACCTAACCTTTTGATGAGAATTCTAATTCCAGCAAGTGTTCAATTAATTAGCTTAACAGAGAATGTGTCACACTTTGCTTCATGATACAACCCCTAAATAACAAAACAAAACCCATCACAGGGATCAAAGCCAGGGATGACTTCTAAAGCACTGGAAGCCAGGTTATGCTCTGTCTCACTGATACCTTTTGGAGCCCAGACTGTCAACACAAAAGTCCTGGGTGGAAGAATCTGAAGGAGTCACTGGCTGCTTGAACAGCTATAGAGATTTTCAGTTAAAATGTTCCTGAAGGTGTGGACATGGTCTGTGGTTCTTGACCCACAAAGAGGCTGCTCCTCTCACTACCCTACAATTGTAGCACTGCCTCACCACCACTTCATTGCCACCTGTTCCAACTCCTGATTGTATCTCAATCCCTACCTCTTCCCAGCAAAGTGCCTTTTCCTCCCTAATGCAGGTATGTTACACTAGATTTTCAGGTGCCAGATGTATAAATACCAAGTACTGCAGCATAAGGTAACTTGCAGTCACTTTAAATCTCTTGACTCTGACCCTAATGACTTTTCTAACTGGCAAGTTTAAAGAGTTTAACTAAAGTTACACTGGTATTATACGTATGCCCACATTCCATTAAAGGATCCTTTTCAACCTGTAAGAGCTGAAGACAAGCTGTTGCTTTGGACACTTCTTTTGGAAATGTGATCATCAGTTTAAATTTACCCTTGAGATTAGAGAAAAACTTCATAATTTAATAAAAGCCATAACGTTATTTGGATGAAAAGATCCGAGTTCCTGTTATTATCTTTTTGAAGCAATATTAAGCAATAAATTTCACATCCTCAAACTTCAGTAAAGATGCTTCTTTAGTGTTATTTCTACTAGTCAGAAAGACAATAGCAAAACTACAGCTACTCAAGCAACATAGAAAATCTGCTTAGCATTTTATACCTACCATTACTGTCTCTCTGCTGCAAGAAATACCCTCCCACAGAAGAAGTGAGGAACTGATGATGACTGCCATTTTCAGATGAGCCATATCCATCCTGCCTTTCAGCTAGTGTCCCCTGGGATGACAGGTAACTGGGAATGTCAGCAGGCAAATTTGTTTCATCTGTGGGGATGCAAAACACATACAAAAGCCATCAGCATACTTCAGTTTGTAGAAGTACTTATAAATTTGTCAGCAAAGCACTGAAAGTAACAACTAATTCACTCTTCTGAGTCAAAGCACTCAAATGTTCCTACAATAAAGTCTTTGCAAAGCAACCACAAACATTTTTTTTCCTTTCCAAGGCAAACCTTCAGTTTACACACCTGTATTTGTGATGCTGCAATCTTCATTCCTCCTTCTTGTGTGGTAGATGATGATTACCCACACCAAGGAAGTGCCCACCACACAGCAAACCACAGCTATGATCACAATGCCAACTGTGGCCCATCCATCATCATCAAGTGATGGGGCAACATTTTGAGGAGAATCACAAGTGGGAGTAGGAATTACATTAAGACGGATGTTGCCGCGTTCTGTCCCAAGCGTATTAGACATTTCACAGGTGTATTTTCCAGCATCTTCTACATCTGTATCCACAATAATTAGTAACTGATTGCCTGCAGCAAAGAAATGTCTTTCTGTTACCACGAGAGGGCTGTCATCCTTAGTCCAGTTCAGTCGGGGTGGAGGACTACCACCAGCAATACACTGCAAGACTGCAGTTTCCCCTTTTGTTACAGTTCGATCCATCAAAGGCCGCAAAAATGATGGTGTTTCTGAAAAGAAAGCACAAACCTTATATCCCAAATGACCTTGCAAAAATGAGAACATGTCCCTTTCCTTCAGAGCTCAAGAGAAAAAGCTAAATTAAATACATCAGTAAGGCCTAATGAAGCTTACTCTGATTCTCAGAAAAAACTCAAGGACTCTGACTTTAGAGCCTACAATTTACTTGCCAACTGATCAGACCTAAATGCTTGGTTACCACAGAAGGTAAAAAGGCCAAATCATACATGCTTAAGGCTGCAGAGAACTAGAATAAAAATGGTTAACAAAATGTAACAAAATCAAAAGTTAAACAAAATCTACTGTCTCTGAATGCAAATAGAAGCCCCTTTGCCCTACTCCCCCCCCGGCATATGAGCTGTGAAGACACTGAGAAACATAACCAACTTTTATTATTTTGCATCACAATAGTGATTACGCTATTAAGGATTGCCAATATCTTACCCAGTACTGTTAATGTTGCATTAGCTGAAATGCTTCCAGCAGTGTTTTGAGCTGTACAGCTATAAACACCTGTGTCCTCAATCTTTACATCAACAATAAAGAATACATCGTCTTCAGGCATGACATGCATGCGCCTCTTGCGCGCTGCAGGAAAATCTGTTCCACCATCTTTCTGCCAAGCAATCTGTGGGACAGGATGCCCAACTGCAGCACATTCCAAACGTGCCATTGCTCCAGCTCGAATGGTTAAGTCCATGGGGATCTTTGTAAATGAAGGCAGCACTAAAGAAAAGTTAGTGATACCAAAATGAATACACGAAACATACGTTTTCTTTTTTGCACAACATTTTCTTAACACCCTTTGTTGGCCTAAAAATGCCAGAGAAGCACACAACCTAAATTTATCAGTATCCAGCAGAGAGAAATGGAGGGAACTGTGAAGTATGTGAGACGCCCTAGATCCAAATCTCATTTCTGCAAACAGCCTCCTACATGACCTTTCCACAGTACCTTGAAACAAAGCATACACTTACCTCCTGTGAAGACAGGATTAATGTTTTTTCCATCTTGTAAGATAGATTTTGTCTATCTATAAGATTTACTATGAATCTTGTTACTTGTTTTTTCCTATACTATGCTTCAACACAATGGGACCAGATGTAAAGCTGAATGGTCTGATCTTAGATGTATTTTAAGAAATAATCTCAGCATATTAAGGGATCTCTTAAAAGATACAGATGATGAGAATGGAAAAACTGTGTTTACATATCTTGATTAAAATCATTCTACTTTTAAGGCCACAAGCAAAAAGTAACATACTTACTGTTTACTGTAAGTTTGGCTTTCACAGAGTAAGATGAACCAAAGTGATTTGAAATAACACACTGGTATTTCCCTTCATTACTGAACTCAACATTGCGCAGTCGAAGAATGGTAGTGTACTCCATCACTTCACCGCCCTGTGCCCGGAGGTGTGCATAATTCTCCATTTCAGCATCTTGCAGTAATTCATTGTCTTTTTTCCATGCAAAAGTCATTGGGGAATCACTGCTGCTGGCTGCCGAACACACAAAACTCAAATTGGAGCCTTTGATTGCTGACTGGGTTTCTGGCTGTACGGTGATCTGTGGTTTAGGAAAATCATCTGCACAGAAGGGAGAAAAAGTAACACAGGGCAAGAGAAAAAAAAAAAACAAAGGTGAGGCCTGAGGACTCTTTTCAGAAAGAGTTTGTAAGCCTTGTTTTATAGGTTTGAGAGAGGAGTCAGATAACTGTTTATAAAATGGATACACAATGCTTTAGTTTTAAACTTCACTAGCCTTAGCACATTAAAGATGCCATATTTTATGAGTTTATTGTTCCAAGTCATCTCTTGTTGAAAAAAAAGCACATTTAAAATCAGACTACGTGTATAGTTTGTTTAATAGCAGCCCTAAAGATGGAAGAACTAGCCCCTGACATCCATAAGAACTATTCCGAACATCAGTCAAGAAGCCTACCCTTCATATTTACAACACCTGAGGCTGCTGTGGGTTTTTCTTTATTGAAAGCACAGTTCTTCTGCCGTCAGAAACTGTAAGTTATAGTCAAGGGTTTTACCCAAACCCATAAACAAAAAATTGTGTACAAAAGCCAGTATTTCAGTGATCTGTGGCTGTTTGGTCCAAAAAGGATAAAGATCCCTTAAGCAGGACAGCACACAAGAACTTCAAGACATTAATTTCTGGAGGTCTCTTTACCATTGAAAAGTTACCTTCAAAGTGACATGCTGTGAGTTTACAGAATTTATTGCCTTCTGAATTATTTATTCAATTGTATGTACACTGCCTGTATAAAAGGAGTGGGCAATTAGATGCCTGGTCTCCCAAAAGCAAAAGCCTTAGCATATTCCCCATTTTCAAGATGTCTCCAATCTCCTGAAAAACTTCACAGGAACTGCAGGAAAAGGCCTGTGCCCCAAATACTCCTCCCTGCACAAGAGTCCATTTTTATCTAGCCCCTTGTCTCCTTACATCTCATTTGTCTGGGAATCACATATCAAGGTCAAAGTGTTATTTCTTAAAAGAACTTTCACGCTGTGTGTTAAAAAAGAAAATAAGATGTGCAGATAGCCTAGCCTTGAGCTGCCTGCAAAAGACACACGGGTTTGAAGCTGTGCTCCAGTGACAGGGCAACGCGAATCTGGGACTCTAAGCAAGGACCTTAAGAATCTCCAAGGCCATTTGTTTTTCATGCCTCATACCCATGCCTTAAGTCCTCCATGACAAACTATACAATTTGAAAATTAAGTTGATACTTTCACTGACTTTGCACAGAGATAACTTAAGTAAAGCACTGTAAATACTTAAATTAGCCTTGTGAGAGGACAGGAGAATATATTTCAATCTTAATTATTTGACAGGAAGGGGGGGATAAAAAGGTCACTCAAATAAGCATACAGTACAGAATATAGAAGAACACACCAGGATAATACAGGTACTGTGTTTTGTCAGAAAAGAACTATTTGAATGTGTATTTGGATGAATGTATCACAGAGACACACATTTATACCCACATTTTAATTTCACACAGGAGTCAATACACTTCTCTTAAAAATTCTATAAAAGCAAAAGCAGTCATTGTAAACTCGTAAGGCAAGGTGTGTACACCCGAATGTCTAGTGATGGCACACTTTAAAGATTTAAGTGAATCACTTATTTGATTGTATTAAGAGATTTTAGTTACTTCTGCATGACAATTACGTTAAGTATTAAATATAACAACTATTAGTACATTCCCTTTTGCTAATACATCTTAAAGTGTTTGAAATGAGTTAATTAAAAATGGCATTCACCAGCTAAAAGAAAGGTCACAATTTGTTAAAGCCCCTGGTTTAACAAATGAAAGTTATATATTTAAATTCCCAATTTAATTTTTTTACAGAATGAGTTTCTCATAAATAAGGATGTATACTTCATATATACTCCTTTAACCACCAAGTAATCTGTAATTTTCTGCACTGTCAACTTCTCCTTTTCAGCAGTAGCCAGCACCTACTCATTATTTATTAAATATCTGACTGCTAATAGAAAGAGAGAAAACAACATTTTTGTATACTATTTTATACTCCGTACCTGCTTTCCCACTGAAAAAAGGATATGAGCAGCAACAGTAAAAATTAAGTAGTTATATTTGTTATGAGAGGAAAATTATTGAGAAGATAGTTACTGTTTTGTCTACGAAGAATACAAAGTTTGAATCCTTTTTAGTAAAAAAAAAATGTATTCAACAAAAATACATGAAATCCAGTTAGTTTTTAATTTCCTAATATTTTTGCAGTTCCCACTTTATGTATCAGAGTACCTAAACACACATCTTTACTCTGAATGCTTAGCTTCACTTTGCTTTAAGTAGAGAACACAACATACAGGTGAATAATGAATGCTACTAAACACACATAGAAAACTTTCATTTTTAAGGCAGATACTATCACCTCAAATTCTCAAGTAAAAATATTTTACTAGTATTTACTATATGGTAAACTGAAATACAAAATATCAACAGTGTAAATGGAGGCATACACATATACCACCACAAACTATTGAGCTTTCCCTTGTACATTATGCTACGTACTATGTAAGCAAGCTGTACATAAAATAAAAGCCAAAAGACTGTCACTCCCCAACTTGTACAAAGCTACAAGTTTTGAGCATCTACATCACAGTTTGGGAACAGAAAAAAATGTTAATAAATATCAAATCCTCTCCATTTTATTATAGAAATCAAAACATATCGAAGAAACTACAACAAAAACTAAGCACACAGCAAAATGTTTCTATGGAATGAGAAATAGAGGCTATACTTACCACAGACAAACCCATCCAGGCTGACAGCAAAAATACTTCTCCCTTTTAGCAGCTGAGGATGGGCACAACTGGCATTTACAAAGCTCTGGAAGCTGTTCTCTGACATCCACTGTGGTAGCCATTTTAACTGGCAGTCACACAAGAGACTTGATGTGTTGAAGTGCCTGAGAGAAAGCAGTTACACTCAAAGCCGGTTTGTTTGTTTTTTCTATTTGTATTACACATCTATATGAGCACACATTAGTAACAAAATAAATTTTGAGGCTAAACACATGTATCACAAGAGAAAAGACAGCAATATTGTTCAGCTCAGGTGTAGTGACACTATTGTCATGACTCCTACATTCTACAAAACAGACACGTTATCCTGAACTCCCAGCTTCTGCTACAAATATGAGTACAGGCAAACAGGCATATTTGTGCTGTATCAGGTACAAAAGTACAGTCAGCAGTATGACACATGGAATGGGCATGCAGGAGAACAGTGCAGAAGGCAGGCACTCTGGAAGCCAACATCTGAGACAGCTTCATTCTCTCATTTCCCTTTCAGTCAGAATTTATCTTGGCGAAGATATTTAAAAAGGGGAGTGGGGAGACAAAGAATAGTAACTTGTTGAAATAACTTGTGCAGAACTTACCTAACCTGTGGGAATATCTACACTCACACAGTGAAAAAATAAAAAAGCAAAGAAATATTCTGGTAAGCATCTAGAATCAGGAGTTCAAGCAGGAAGAGTTCTCGTTTTTGGCTGAAAACTCAAAATCACCCTTAAAAAAACATATTAAAAAACCACATTCAGTAGTAAAATACCTCTCTTCAAATCTCACCTGTTCTTGAAAGAAAAGCAAAAATAATTTATGGATCCAGGGAGATATACAGCTTTAAAGATAAATGAAGAATAGTAATTCTTGATTTTTTTTTTCTTGAAGAAAAGGAAGGGTGTCTCTGTGCTCTTTTTCACATTAGCACTGCATAAAAACCTAGGGATGCCAGCTCACCAGTTTACATTGAGATGAAACAAGTCATCTTTCACTTAAGTTTTAGAATCATTCTTGTTATTTTTATGAGCAGACAAACCACAATTTTTTTGCTATCCTGATGAAGTAGGTAGGTATCTGTCATGTTATTTTCCTCCAGGGCCTCAGAATAAAACTATCAGATATGAAGTTATACTAAATAATCTCACTTGTGGGAAACTACTTTCTACCATCTGTCTGTATCTTCCTCAGACATAATGTCTACCAGGTGTTTCAAGAAAAGTACAGGAAAAACAACACCAACAACTCTTCAATAGTTATTTCATTGAAGTTGTTTACAGTCTAGTACCTTACAGCATCTTACACCTCCTGGAGCAGTGTTAGCCTGTCTTTCCATCACATTTGACCACTCTTCAAATCATCTGTATCAATTCCTAACTGTCAGCACTGTGCTCCCAGTTCTCCTGTGCCAAACTAGCAACTGCCTTGAAGCTGGTTGAGCGAGTTCAGCAAACTAATCAAGCAATACAACCAGGTCCAACTCAAGGAAGAGGAAAGGCAGAAAAACCCTGGCTACGGGTAGAACCATGGCTTCTGTTTTCTAGAGCAGCTACAGCACAATATGGGTAACATTCAACTGAATTTCAAATGAACCAAATATTGTCTAGATACAAGAAAAAAAATATTTTACAGTGTGAACAATCATACACTGGAACAACATGTGACATGGTGGAGTGCCCAGGACTGGAGGCTTTCAAGACACAACTGGACATGGATCTAGATAACCTCATCTAGCTGCCCTTTTCAAGGAAAGGTAGGACCAGATGACCCTTTTAGGTATCTTCCAACCTGGGCTGTTCTCTGAGTCTATGAAATATGCAAGGTTCCTTGCTACTTTCTCTATGGCAGTCAACATGGAGTAATTCTGTAAGATGAACAGAGAGCCAGCTCCCAATGATACTCGATAGGAGTCTGGAGAACACAAATGAAAAGCTCCAGATGAGCTTCAAGCAGTTTCTACTCATGAGAGCAGCATCTTTTTGTTATTCTTTAGTTTGCTGACAGATTATCTACACAGCAGATCAGGGCAACAGGTTTGACTAGAGAATGCTGATAATAATAGAGGAGACACAAGATATACATGCAAGAGGAAGAATTAGCTGCACTTAAAACACAGGGAGCAGTGACAATGTTGTTCCATATCGATCAATAGAAAAAAATGGTAAGAGGACAAAAAGAAAATCCTCACTAGAAGAATACATTTTTCCCAGTGACCACTTCACAACTTCTCTGAAGATCTGTCCCTTTGCTACTATAGGACAGAAGGACCCAATTACAAGCACTGACAACCAGGTCTTTACAAAAGAATTGCAGCACTGTATTTCACTGGTCCAGTAAGCTTTAGCTCAATGATAGCACTGCTGATCTTATAGCATATTACATAAAAGTCTTCCTTATTTAAAACCCATCAGAGATCAGTCAATTTAAAATAAGGACTTTTTATAGACACCAAATGTAGCAGAAAACAAATGCCTCTTATCCCACACTCTCTCACTTAAATACACCCATCATATAAAAAATAAAAGAACCCAAAACACTGACAAACTTTTTATGTGACTTCAGGTAGATTACAGCACAACTTTATCAGTGCATTAAGTGACATCTTACAAGGCTTTTATTTATATATTTATATATATATATATTTAATAGAGGTGATGCCTTTTGATAGAAACTTACAATTCTTTGAGTTTCTTCATTTGTGAAAATGCATTTCCTTGAACTGACATAATTGCATTGTTACTTAGATCTCTAGGAAAACAAAAGAAAAATAACATTAGAGGAAAGTAGTAATTTATTAAACTGAATATATTTAAGACTCAAGGAATAGATTGCTATTCTAGTGATGTACAAAGGATCCTCAAGCTTTAAAGTGAATGAGACACAGTTAAGGAGTTTTATAGCACACTTAATGCTTTTTGCATTAATTCCAAAATACTCAGCATAACTCCAAAACTGAAGAACCTTCTAAAGATCACAGTAGCAACCATGGTAATTGTATTTCATCCAAAGTCACAAGTAAAGCTTGTTAGTCCCATTTTTATTTCAATTAGTATCAAAATTATTTTTTTCCAATTTTGGGTTAAATGTCAATTTCTACTACTTACAAGTGTTCAAGTGCATCCAAACCAGAAAATGCTTTCTTTGTAATGGATCTAATCCTGTTTCCTTGGAGCATCCTAAAAAATTTAAGCACATAATGCAAAGAAGATGAAATTAAAGCAAGATTATTTTTGAGCTGAATAATTGTGGGTTTGGCATTTGTTTCCACACCGTGACTAATATTCACTATTAAGCCATCTCCAATGCAGCAAAATCTCTCAAATCTAAAAGATATTAATTTATTTACCTTGAATAAATATCTATATTTTACCATAATTTTAGAAGACATTTAAGGTGTACAGTTAAGTGACATGCATTATTCTAAATATATACATATAAACATCTTTTTATTTCATAGATCTGCATCTGAAAATCTCAATGAAATGAAGCCACTTCCATTGGATGCTGCATTACTTTATCAAATACTATCTCTGTCACTATGCCTTTGTCATAGGATATATTTATTATTTTGTATTATGGGAAAGTCTCATTCTTTGATAAATATTTCCAGTAGTAATAATAATTAAAATATCTCAGATTAGTTTGACTTGGAAAATCGGAAGTTTCGTTTATAGAAAAGGAACATCTTATATAGAATAAAATGGTAAGGGAGAAAAAAAAATCATCTCAGCTATGGAAAACATAACATCATTAAGTGTTGGGCTTGTACCCTGAAACACACACAAGCTAAGCTAATTTTTTTAAGGAATGATGATATACAAATATCGTAGCAATACTCACAGCTTCCTAAGTTTATCTAGGCCAGAGAAAGCACCATTCATATCTTCAATAGTCCAGGATATTTCATTGTTTTTCAGATCCCTGTTTAAGAGGGATGGGGAAATCAAACCACAAAAGCTATTAAAAAGAACAAGGTACATAATTCTTTGACAGCACATTTTATTAAAAAAAAAAATTCTAAAATAGCTTTCTGGTAGGTTGTTTTTTTGTTTAGTCATTTTTTGTGTTTTTTAAGAGAAACTTTTCCTGACTAACTATTTCAATTTTTACTGAGAGACTGATTCTTAGTACTTTTCCGACTGATAGTTAAAAAGATCACAAACTCAAAAGTTTTCAGAATCATTAGCAAACAAACCCACATTCCCCTCCAAGGCTATTCAGATACCGGACTATTATAAGAGAAGGAACATCACAGGAAGGGAAGGGATCATGCCCAAAACACATTCATGTCTTTTTAAGTTCATAGTATTAACACCCAGAGAATACCCAGAGAATCATTTCTACATCCCAAAACATCCACAACATTCAGTTATCTATGAAGGATAAAGAGATTGGAGATTTGTGTACAGAGTGGTGTGTCAGCAAAGAATCAACAGGGTAGGACTAGAGGAGAAAAAAAAAATCTGGGAGGAAAAGCCTAACAATTCCTAGACAACTCAAAATTCTCTGACTTCCTCTCTTTATGATCTACAACTCCCTGTATTCTTAAAAAAACATAGCATACATCCCTTCAAAATGCATCTGTGCTAGACCCCCAAAGTATCAGTATGTGAGCAAACCCCTGGAAGTAAAGTGTTAGCATCCTTTTAAAAACCTAGAGGGAAAGGCAATCATTTTGCTCATCTGGCCAACAGATGGGTCAATTGTACGCAATGGGACAATTTTAACAAAGTAGAATATATTTAGATTAGTTTACTTTGTTCTCCCCCTTCCTTTAAGAAATGCTATTTCAAAACATGCTCAAATGCTTAGAGCAATTGTCCAGTCAAGATAAGCATCAGCATCCATAGTAATACACAGCTTTTGTCTTCTTATTTGTACTATGAGGGAAAATGTTGATTTATTTAAGACAAAACTATGATTCAGATCCCTAGAGCTGTGGGTAGCAGTGCTGCTCACTGCCTTCAAATGGAGACAGGTCTTTCCCATAATAATGCTACTGACAATTCATACAATAATTACCACAATCCATTGTGCACAGCCACAAAAGACGAACTCCTCCCTTTCCCAACTGAAAATAAATCCTACTGTAAGAGAACCATACGCTGATAAGGGGAAGGTAACAAAAGGTTCTTGTATATTTCACAGGGAAAAGAACTAACTATAAATGCTGAGGGTTTTTCTTAAGGTTTTTAACCTTACAAATTGAGTTTGTCAACTTACAAAATCTGTAGACTGGAAAGTCCCCTGAAGGCACAATCAGCAATGTAATTTACTTTGTTGTTTCCAATGTACAGTCCAACCAGCACGCTTAAACCAATGAAGCTTGAATCATCTAACCTTGCTAATTGATTGAATGTCAAATCTCTGGAAATTTAAGGGGGAAAAAAAGCATTTTAATGTTCAACTGCAGTGCTTATTTAACTCAGATCAACCCAGGTGAATTTTTGGGAGGAGCACATCTTTTCCCCTTACAGTTATCACAAAACTACTACACCATTTTTGACCACACCACTTGTGCATTGTCTCAAACAATTCACAAATTACTGCAGAATGAATTTCTTTCATTTGAAAGTGACTGTTACAGCTTTCGTACAACTCCCACAGTGAAATAAAGCAGTCACAGATGACTACAACTTCTTTCAACAAAATATAACTCTCTCATACAGAAAAGTTGTTGTCACCTTGGAAACTCTGTTATGAAAAATTCACAGATCAGTAGTAAGAAGCTCATGCTTTGACATGTACCCGGCTTTCAAAACTGGAATAGAATAAAGCTACTCACAGCTCACTGAGTTTTTGGCAAAATTCCCAGGCATCAGGACTGATCCTGCTGATGGCATTTTGACTGAGATGGAGTTGCTGCAGCATCAGCAAGCCATAAAGCCAGCCTTTGGTTACCTCTGTTAAGTTGTTATGGTCCAGCTGCCTACAAACACACACAAACAGACAAAAGACATAAGGTTCAGAAACTCAGCAGCGGGCATGCTTTGCCACAGGTCCACATCTGACTTCACGACACTGGCTAGATAGTTGCAGCCTCTATTTACATCTAAAATTGTATACATGCATTCAGAATGTGCTGCCCTACACACTGACTACTGACTGCTTGCTATTTTTCAAACCACACCACAACAATTTAATTCAAAGAAATCTCTAAATTTTACCAGGAAATTCTATTAATTTTGTGTAATTCTACTTAATATGTTATCAGCAGAACCTCCCAGCAGAAGTTTGATACTTACAAGACTTCCATGTTCGTCAATCCCCAGAAAGCACCATCCATGAGCCTCGTAACTCCATTTCTCTGCAGCTTTAATGATTTCAAAGCTGGAAGTCCTTGGAAAGTAAGCCCATCTATTTTTTTAATTTTGTTGCGATTCAGCTCCCTGCATCAATAAAATTTACAGTTACAGCACAGTAATTTTACCTGCAAGCCAAGAACCTTTCTTCCCTCTCTGGAAAACAACCTTATTTAAAAGCTTTTCTTGCACATAAAACACAGACAAGAAGTAATAAAGATCAAAAATTTTATTGTAATCCATTATGTTTAACCATGCTAATACTGTTCTGCCTTTTTGATACTGAGGACAAGTACTTGGTAGTTCCTTGATTTTCAGACTTCAAGAATCCCTGTAGACCTAGAATGTCACAAATTTAAAAGTGAAAGCAAGTTCCTGGTGTTTATCCCGCAGCAGAGCTGTTAAGGTTAGCTTGTAATTGCAACCAATAATCCGTCAGAAAGAAAAACTTAACAATTTAGTTGTGATAACTAGGCAAAAATTAATGTCACCGGTGACCCCTCTCTTTCTTAATCCGGAGCCAAGCACTCATTATACATTTCTTCCTCCTTCTCCACAACTAGTTACACAAAAACACCTTCCCTCTTTCTCAAACGGACTTGGCACTCACCCTTCTGCCACTACACAGCCTTTGCAGTGTTCTTATGACCTTGCACTTTCAAGGTTAACCTAAGAGAATTTATAATTTTTAACTCTTGACTATCTGACATGGGAATTAATTATCCAGTATTTGTGAAGTGTAGCCCATCCTCTTGTCCATTTCCTGGACACTTTGTAAGTTTTTATTTAAAAAAATTCCCCAGTCTCTTTCATATTAAGTAACTTTATTAAATAACTTCATTATTTATTTGATAAAACATTTATAGACAGCGTTGTATCAATGAAGCTGAAGGTCTATTTACTCAAGCATATTGCTTATAGTCATACCTTCTGAAAGCAAGTGAATTTCCTTCATTTCACCATGAAAGAACAGAAGTAAATGACTGCTGCAGTGAACTATAAAAGTTTACTTCACTTACTATTTTCCCCATGCTTTTTTACAGGAATATCGCTATTACCCCTTCTCCAGCCTTTTGGGTTTTTTTTCTTTTAATAGGCAAACAATTTTAAACACAAAGACTACTCACATCTCACCAACATATAAGACTAGTTTTGTTCACTACAGTGCTGCAGTTACAAAGGGTTGTAGTAATATATTTTTTGTATCTGTCTCACTCTGCCTCTGGTTAAATTAAAGGCTAAAGTTCAAGCACTGCCAGTGCTTTGGAAAACCTGAAAACAATTAGTCAATTGCAGTTTGCACTTACAGGTGCTGCAGATGGGAGAGTTTAAACATCTTCTGAGGGATTGCTGAAATTTTGTTCCTGTTCAGTTTCAATACTTGAAGTGTGGTAGACAAGTTATCAAAGGTACCAGGCTCCATGGAGGTTATTCGATTATTGTTAAGATATCTGTTGAAATAATGCCTAGAAGTTATTTAATTATTACAGTTATTTATTAAATTCTTAATACCAAGTAGTGAGACACAAAGCTCTTGCAGTGCTTACTCATTTATAAATGGAATTTTGTTTATCATATTAATTAGAGCTCGACAGCTTATTCTATAGTCAAATACTATTTCACCACCACCCCTGCTCTAGTCTGCAGGAGTGTGATAATAGAGGAAGATAATATGTTGCAATACCATTACTTTATTCTCATTCAGTATAGCTCCGGCATTGCATTATTCCTAAGAAAGATTCACAAAGTCTATCAAACTTCATGTAACTTCAAACTAGCCTAGCCATGGGGAACTTAAATTCATTTTGTTACATAACTATTTCTCTCAAGATACATCTATTTGTTTCATCTCAGGATAATGGCCTTTGCTTTTTTTATGAACAAAAACATCTTACTGTAACAACTCACATATTCAAGATAGCAGCTGCTATTAAGCTGAACAGGTGAAAATAGCAATATTTAATGTCTGTCTAATTAAAAGATTTGAGTACCTTAACAAACAGCTGCCAATCTAAGTTTTCAAACAAGTTTTTTGAAAGTAACCTGAAAGAAAAATGAAATAATACTAAGTTTCACTTACAGATACTTGAGCTGTAATGATGGAAATGATGACGTTTTTAGTTCTGATATGTTGTTGTTGCTCAAGTCCAAAGTTTCTAGTCTCTGAAATGGCTTCAGATGTTCAGACAAAACATTAGCAATCTTGTTACTGGTCCTGAAATTTAAGGGCAGTACGTAAAAGACTGTCATTTCCAGAGAAAACACATGTTAACTACACAACCCTGACAAGAGCTAGTTCTTAATTCCCCTACTTGAAAATAATTTCTCGTTATATAAAGCTAATAAACTATGTTCTCTATACATAACACTAATTTTTAGCCATCTAAAATCACAAATTGGAATACTCTAAGTGTTCATTAATATTTCTTAAAATATAATCCCAGTAAACGACAAAAAAAATGCAATATAATCCAATGACTACAATTCATTGCTTTTAAAACAAGATGCAAAATCCTATAATCATCTGTTTCTGAACAGTAGAAATACCTGGTATTTGCATGGAACAGTACGTCACAGTACTGTAATGAAATTAGAGTTGTTTTCTATTTTAAGCGAATTAATAGGAGCTAGACATAGTGCTTCGGGTTTCTTGAAAACTCCCTTGGCATGAAAGTCAAGGCTGAATTTTCAGAAAAAAAGCAGAGCTAGAACAGAAAAGATGGATGACAGTGCACCCCTTCTGAAAAACATTCTGTAATTGTGTAATTAGATCTAGTATTTCATCCTATAGATTTTTCTAGCGAATTGGCAAAGAACAAGATTTCTACTTATTAGAGCTCATTACAGGGGTTACGGACTTCATGTCTGGTCAAACTTCCGCTAAGCATCACATCCAATTCAACAACAAGAAGGCTGCAACTGTTTAAAGATATGGGTATCCTAGTCTGCTATAAGGAACACCCCTTCTTTCACTTCCACTGGCATGTACTTTTTCCAGTGATCATACTTCCGGTTCATACCCAGCAATCTATCAGTTTTTCCATCTCAGCTGCAGGTACAGAATCATACATGCATATCAGCAACGTTAACAGGGTTATTTTGGGGGAGCTAACAGTACATAGGTGAAGGCAGACCACGACCAATTAAACAAACGTTACCTGAAATGACCCTTGTTACACTGGGAAGTTCAAGTCAGTTTAGCTGTGGTATATCCTGTACCTTGTATGATGAACTATCGAAATTTCGGAGCTTCCCCAGCTTCTAGAGATTGTATGCAAAAGCACTTTCAGTAAAACTATCAACAAGAATGTTGATTCTGGGAGATGTTTGCCTTTGTTAGAAATACTTGCTCTGGATCAAATAGTAAGCCACACATTAGGATAGCATGGACAACCCTCACATATTCAAAGGGTGTGGGGGGACTACTGCTCAAGACAAAAAATTCTTAACTCAGAAACTGAACCAGAAGTTAGATTAATGGGCCCTCTGACCACATGTGGGAACGGGTAAGTGATCTTGCAGCCCCTCCAATGCTGAGCTTGTATCATGTTTCATTCCTCAGGCTGTCTGCAGAGGTACACTGCATTTTTTTAACTCTTAGCTGAAAGTATTTATAACAAATGGAAACAAATTACTTTAATAAAAAACAACAAACACCACCACCATGTGTCAGTTCCACTGGCCAAATAAGACTGTGAGTTAGATAACAGGTCACAGAGCCTTGCCTTTATGCATTAGTTTGTTTATAAGGTAATTACTATCAAGGTATTAAAACTGCCAATTACTTGAGTGACGAATAAAATTTTCCTTGCAGTAAAAGTGTGCTCCAGCAGAAGCCAGCAATTTCCTGAACTGCACGCCTCCTAAATTGCAGTGTGAAAGTGTTCAGTTATAAGACGGCTTGCACAGTGCTGTCTTTGTGTCAGCACTGCTCCATAAAACAGAAATTCCTCACAACTGGCAGGATAATAGCTCCTGTATTACAAAGTTTAGTTGGACCTAATGGAACCGAATAAAACTCATACACAAACTTCAGATTAGCACTTACAATAACTGGCAAATTACCTGACACAGACCAGGTTACACGAAAAACAATCCTTTGTTTCAGGGAACATTTTTCTTTATCGGAGATGGTAAGGCCATACTGTGGAAAGAAAAGCAACTTCTTTTGTTCACTGAAACTGCACTACACATCGAAGTCCTAGTCCATCTTAAAACAAAAACAAACCAGCCCTCACTGCACCTTCCTGCTTACTCATATTTGTAGAAGTTACTCAATTCCAAAATAGCTCAATGGTTCACTCCCTATTGCTCCAATAGCCTCGTCCAGCTTCTCTTCAAAAATATTTAAGTGTGATCATTCACACATGGAAGGAGGTTATTCAGCACTGAAGACATCCAAGTAGTTCTACTTTAAGGCCCAACTTTAGTTAAAATGGAAAACTTCAATTTTAATTTAATTTTTCTTTATAATCATCACTTAAGCAAATCGAATAAAAACGACATATCATCTTCCTCATAACTGCCAAATCACCATTACAGTTAGTCAAGAAGATGTTTGAAAACACAAACCTATCTAATTGTCAAGATAGAAAGAAATAGTATGTCAGCACAATGACATAAGTTTGTTCACTGAGAGGAGGTTGGGGGGAAGAAACCCCAAAACGAAACCTTTCCAGAGAAATGTTGTTATTGCTGTGCTCAGACAAAAGGAGCTGCACACAGCCCATTGGCTTCATTTCACAGACATTAAAGGGAAATCAGAGAAACAGAGATCCTCTGCAACAAGAGAAGCAGCACATCAAATTCCCCCAGAAGCAGACCTGTAGCAATTTGATAACTATTTCTTCATGTGCAAGGAACAGCAACATGCTGCAGCTTCCTTTCAACTTCTCCTGTTACAGCTAAAGCAGCAGGAGCATCAAGCAATGCAGATAAACCCACCAAAAATATCTGCATGAATTTGAACATGCCTTTTGCTATTTGAGTGCCTATACCCTGACTTGGAGCAAAAAAAACCCACAAGCCAATGACCTGTGAGTGCATACAGCCTGATTTAATTACTTTTACCTAAGCCTGTGCGAATACCAGCCTCAGACAGAATATCAGTTTTTCATTACGGGTATGAAAAACCTTAGCTTTGCCTCTCAGTATTCATAACTTTACCACACCACTAGGCCAAAACATATAAAAGAGCCCTATCAATCACGATCTCAAGATTCACTCTATGTAAACAACAGCTACAACATATCTGACATATTGACTGTACTTTCTTTGCCTCTGGGGAAATACAAAGCAGAACATAAACTTCTGTAACCATTTTGTTGAGGATCTAGTTAGCACCTTTTAGACATAAAAGTTCTTAAGTGCTGAAAAAAAACCCCAGTTTTTTTAAGATCTGAGAAAGTATGACTATCTCTTGATAAAGGTTGCCAGTATGTAATGTTTTCTACCTCAGAGAAATACTGTGTAAGCTTTATAACTCTGATCCTGTAACATGGAAAATGCAACTCATGAACAGAGTAGGACCTCACGTCCTATCTTTTGTTTCTATTTGAAATCTCAGAATAAAAATAATACTCTTGCACTTCCACCTCAGCATAAGTCTTTCTTCCAGATAGATCCTGATCTGCTGTGGTTTGAAAATCTTAGTAGTATCATCCTGACAGGGAAAATGTGTAGAAGCATCGAGGTGGAGCAATCTGGAATAAACAAGTTGTCTAGAAAGACAATTTTGGAGAACTGTGTTTGTGCAGACTGTTCTTCAAAACTCTAAGATGTAAAACAAGTGTTTTAACATCTATGTGATTCTGGACTAATACAGTACCTCCTGTCCCTCAACTAAGTTTTGAGAGGCAAGATATACTGAATCCGAATCTCAAACAAACGAAATCACAGTAGAGTCTCTTGCTGGAGACTAAGAGGCTAGGTAAAGAGAAAAAAAGCACTCTGCTAGGGTTAGATGTATCTTTCTGAGCAGTGCTGAATCCAAGACACTGGGGTTCACAGATGTTTAGTTTGACCATTTTGCGTTTGCATGACTTCCAGAATAGAGCTACTTTGGAGGCAGCCTTATCAGAGCACAAGCAAAGCAGACCTGACTGTCCACATCCAAGAATGTTCCCAGTGGTCTCCATTATGTGCCACTACAGCTCACAGCCTCCCTTTAAATTTTTGTGATTGTTTCATCTATTCTTCCCTCCACTCACTCACTGACATCACATGCCTCCTGGCATATCATCTATTGTTTCCTGTACTCCCACTCCTGCCCTCCCAAACTCCAAACTCCTGTAAGAAACAATGATGTCAACACACTGAGCAGAAGCAAATTTAAGCAAAAAGATTAAAAAAAAAGGTACTAAAGGTGAAAGATCAAGACTGTAATTGAAAGTGTTGGAATATATATGCTTTGTGGCTTTTAGCCTAAGACTGGACAATTTCAAGGAGCACATACCAGAAGAGTCTCAGTAACTACTACAAGAATAAAGAGCAAAAAGGTTCTTTTTTTCTTCAATTTCTACTCACTTGACTACTAAAATTAGCCCGACTGTAATTAACAATTACATCATTTAAATACTGAAATTATGGTTTCAAGCTGAACACTATTCTTATCAAAAAGCCCCTGATATCACAGGTTATTCGGAGTTGGAAGGGACTCACAAGGATCATTGAGTCCAACTCTTAAGTGAATGACCCATACAGGGGATTGAACCAATGACCTCAGTGTTATTAGCACCAAGTTTTAACCAACTGAGGTTATCTTGAATACCTAATGAGACTACATGCTTATCTCACCATTAAGATACTCAACCACACTGAATTAAGAAAATCTAGGGTTTTTTTAATCTTTGCGACTGTTAAACATAGAAATATTTCAAGTGATACTGTTTTTCTCCAAGATAAAGCTGTCAGAAACGGAACCAGAATTCTGGCTCACTTCCAGTTCTACTGGTAGGTCTACAAGTCTGATGCATCTTTCACACACAAGCTTCTTGAGGCAAGCGGTTGTACTTCCTTTTGAAGGTCTCCTTCATTTCATGATCCCTGCCTCTAGTTGTTCTTTCGATGCAGATGTCAGCAAGTATCTGCTTTTATATTTTGTGGGTTTTTTGGTATGCAGGTATAAAGTAGAAAATGAAAACTCAGAACTCTGTAGGTTACTGATACCCTGTCCAAAACTTGAAACCAAAGGTTTATTGATTCCCAAATCAAACA